AAAAGCTAGCTCAAAGCTAAAAATGCCAAAAGGCTAGCTCAAAGCTAAAAGTATCAAAAGGCTAGCTCAAAGCTAAAAGTATCAAAAGGCTAGCTCATAGCTAAAAGTATCAAAAGGCTAGCTCAAAGCCGAAAGTACCAAAGGCTAGCTCAAAGCTAAAAATGTCAAAAGGCTAGCTCAAAGTTAAAAGTACCAAAAGGCAAAAAAAAGCTAAAAGTACCAAAAGGCTAAATAATAGCTAATAAAGCAAAAAGCTAGTTACAAGTAGGAAAAGGTTAGCTAAATGTAGCAAAAGGTTTAAAAAAGGCCAGCTAAAAGCTGTAAGACGGTAAATGAAGTTTAGTAGGTAAACTAGCTAAATGCTTGGTCAAAGCAGCAGCGTTTTGATGTGACTCGTTAAAAATGCTGAACGTTCGCACTTAATGACAAAAATGCACAAAAGAAACTGGATGCTGAGTCGGTGCCACACAGCTGGAGCGGTCCGTTGTTTTAGCTCGTTTCTTTAAGCATCTGAACTCTGGACCTTCAGACATAAAAAGACCAACGTCGACACAAACGGACAAGAAGCTTAAATTGGATCAGCTATAAGCCGTTTTAGTTTTACCAGCAGTTTTCACTTGTAGCTACAGTTTTGCTTCTTGTAGCTTTTAGCTGTGGTTTTGCTCATTTAAGCTTTTTTTGTGATCTTTTATGAATTTTATGTTTTAGTTCTTGTGCTAATCACAGCCTTTAGCTAATATTTTGCTAATTTAATGTTTTAGCTCCTTTTGTGCTAATAACAGCCTTTAGCTATTGTGCTAATCACAGCCTTTAGCTATTGTTTTGTTTATGTTTTAGCTCCAGTAAAGTTAAATTAAGTTTTTAGTTACCGCTTTGATCATTTAGGTGTTTCAGGGACAGTTTAGCTCATTTTATTTTTTAGCTGCTGTTCTTCTGGTTGTAGCTTCCCTTCGGCTTGTTGTGTTACTGACGAGTGTGCTGGTTCTGTTTGTTTCCGGGTCAGAGATGTGGTACTGGGTGTTCCTGTGGTGCCTCTTCTCCTCGCTCTTCGCCCACGGCGCCGCCGGCCTGCTGATGTTGGTTCTGCTGCAGCGCCACCGGTGGGGGCGCCTCATCAGCCTGGTTCTGGTCAGCGCGGGCTTCCTGGCCTCGCTCTGCGGCGCCGTCATCACCAGTAAGTCCAGCTGAGCCCGGTCCCGTGCAGAACCTCCTGATCCGATTAGACCAAGGTCCACTGAGTGGTTCTGAGTTTTATATGTTTAGCTAACAAACGCCAAGACGCACAGCTAAAAACATGAAGTCAAAGTCCAGAACCTGCCTGGCTGTAGTTCCTCTCCCGGCCTGCAGGGGGAGACCAGCAGCAGCTTTCAGCTGGATGTCAAAAATAAACAAATAAATGAACAAAGATCCTCCTTTCATGTTTGGAATATCTAAAATTTATCTGAAGCTCCTTTCTCCGTCCCGTTAGAAGGAGGAGCAGCTTCAGCTGTAGAGAGAGGAGCAGCTTCAGCTGTACAGAGAGGAGCAGTTTCGGCTGTAGAGAGAGGAGCAGCTTCGGCTGTAGAGAGAGGAGCAGCTTCGGCTGTA